TTTGACTAATTCCGGCAAACTTTGACCAACTCCGGTGAACTTTGACCAACTCCGGCGAAACTCCGGTGAAGCTCAAAAATACTTTAATCAAGTTCCTAACAAGGTTTTAACATCATAAAACCTTAATCAATACAAATAACCCCAAAAGGTTATTTTCCGGTGAACCGGTCGTTTTGACTTCTAAATCCGTTTTTGGACTTAGAACCACTTTCCAACCCATCATTCTACACTCTTTTCATGTAGAACAATCCCAAGGATCCTCCATATGATATATATCTCATAAGATTGAAGGGAAACATATAGAAAAAGTTATGATAAGGTTATTACCTTAACCTTCACACTTTTAGCACTTAAATTCCTTTTCTTGGGATCTTTCCTTGTTGAGCTTTCTTCAACAATGGAGATGGAGGACTTCTTTGCTCTAGCTTGGAGGGTGCAGGCCGCAGGAAAATGAGGGGGAGTGGGTGAAGGTTGGTTTTTGTCTCTTTGATACAATGAGTAAGGATGGGGGGTCCAATTAATGTACCTTTGATGCTTTCTTAATCAATCCCAACACCTCCCACCTCCTCCTTTCCCTTCCAGCCGCCCACCTCTTGTCCTTTGTATGGAAAAATTCGTGGGTTGGCCCCCACACATGTGGGAGGTCAACCCCTTTTGTTCCGAAGTGTACAATTGGTCCCGAAAGTTGTATTTTTCGGACTGTTTTAAATATATTTTATTTTATCGGGTCAAATAAAATATATTATGTGTTCTCAATCATTATGACTCTCATAGTGAATATACATTCCCCAACTTTAATTTATAGGTCTCCGAAATTCAATTTCGGGCTATTATCCGTTAAATTGCCAATACCGGTATTTGGGCCTCTTTTGACCAATCGGTCAACTCAAGACCTTTCCATGGTTCAAAAGAATTATCCACCACCATATAAATATTATCTAGACCAAGATGAATAATTTATGTGGTCCCGGGAATATCGGGCGGCCCCCGCTCCCGGTGCGGGCCCCACGCGCGAACTTATTATTCAGGCAAAATTAATAAAAATTCATAACCTCGTAAATTCGTCAATCATTCCATAAGGTTAAAATACAATATTCACTTAAAAGTAAATACACTTGGGGACGGTGTTACAAGTTCACCCCCCCTTATTTGGGATTTCGTCCCCAAAATCCACGTGTCTAATCGAAGAGAAAAGGGTATTGCTCTCTCATTGAAACCTCAGTCTCCCATGTTTCTTCCTCGACCCGATCACTCCTCCAAAGGACTTTTACCATAGGAATCTCCTTGTTCCTCAATTTCTTCACCTGTTGACCCACAACCTTTACCGGTTCCACTGCATATTGTAGATCTTCACGTATCTCCACCGGTGGCTTCTCAAGAATATGAGATGGATCTCTCACGTATTTCTTGAGCATCGATACATGAAACACGTCGTGTATCTTCTCAAGTTCCGGCGTCAGCTTGAGACGGTAAGCCACCGCCCCAATCCTTTCAAGGATTTCAAACGGACCAATGTATCGGGGGTTGAGTTTTCCCCTCGATAAAAATCGGATGATACCCTTCCAAGGAGAAATTCTTAGGAAGACCTTATCACCGACCTCGAACTCCAATGGCCTGCGTCGTTTGTCGGCATAGCTCTTCTGCCGATCTTGGGCAGTCTTGAGTCTATCCTGAATGACTTTCACTTTAGTCTTGGTGATTTCAACAAGTTCAATCCCCTCGAGCTTGGCCTCGCCAACCTCGTCCCAACACAACGGTGTTCTGCACTTCCTCCCATACAATGCCTCGTATGGAGGCATGCCAATACTTGCCTGATAACTGTTGTTATAGGCAAACTCCACTAGGGCCAAATGTTTGTCCCAACTTCCTTGGAACTCCAAAGCACATGCCCTAAGCATGTCTTCCAGAATCTGTATCACCCGCTCGGACTGTCCATCCGTCTGTGGGTGAAAAGCTGTGCTAAACTTCAGTTTAGTCCCCAGAGATGCTTGAAACTTTGGCCAAAATCGGGATGTGAATCGTGGATCCCTATCCGAGACAATGGATATTGGGACTCCATGTAATCTCACAATCTCCTCCGTGTATAGCTTCGCCAACCTTTCAAGAGGGTAAGTGATGTTAATAGGCAAAAAGTGAGCACTCTTGGTGAGCCTATCAACTACTACCCATACCGCATCATAGTTGTTCACGGTCCGTGGCAACCCCACCACGAAATCCATAGTCACATGCTCCCACTTCCATTCTGGAATGGAAAGTGGCTGTAATAACCCAGCTGGATGCTGATGCTCTGCCTTGACTTGCTGACAAGTAAGGCACTGACTGATGTACTCGGCTATCTCTCTCTTCATACCGGACCACCAGTAACTTTCTTTCAAATCGCGATACATCTTCGTGCCCCCCGGGTGCATGGCATAAGCCGATGAATGAGCTTCCTCTAAGATGGACTTTCGGAGCTCATCATCCGCCGGCACACACACTCGGTCACGAAATAGTAAAAGACCGTCGTCTCTTTCTCTGAAGTCCTCCACCGGTCCCGCTTGCAAGCGTTCCCTGATCTTCACAATTTCATCGTCAGTTTCCTGACCCTTCTTGATCTCATCAAGCAAAGTAGGTCTCACCTCAAACCGTGCCAATAAGGCACCATTACTGGACACCTCCAGTTGGGCTCTTAATGCCCTCAAATTAGCTATCAATGCCCCAGTTGAGCTCTTCCGGCTCAAAGCATCTGCCACTACATTTGCCTTGCCTGGATGGTACTCAATCACTAGGTGGTAGTCCTTTATCAACTCCATCCACCGTCTCTGCCTCATGTTTAACTCTTTCTGAGTAAACACGTACTTCAAGCTCTTATGGTCAGTGTATATGTGACATGTCTCTCCGTAGAGATAATGTCTCCAAATCTTCAGTGCGAACACCACTGCTCCCAACTCTAGATCATGGGTGGGGTAATTTACCTCATGCTTCTTCAACTGTCGTGAAGCATAGGCAATTACCCTCCCCTCCTGCATTAACACACATCCAAGCCCTTGGATGCTCGCGTCACTATAGACATCGTACCCCATACCCTGTTTGGGTAATGCAAGTACCGGTGCCTCGGTTAATCTCTTCTTCAGTTCAGTGAATCCTTTCTCACATTTGTCATCCCATACAAACTTAGATCCTTTTCGAGTGAGCTTTGTCAACGGTGATGCCAAAACAGAGAACTTTTCCACGAACTTTCTATAGTATCCTGCCAATCCAAGGAAACTACGAATTTCCTTGACGTTCTTTGGCCTCTCCCATTCGGTGATGGCTTCTATCTTCTTGTTGTCGACAGCAATTCCCGATCCCGAAACCACGTGCCCGAGAAAGCCAATCTCCTTAAGCCAAAATTCACATTTAGAAAATTTGGCATAGAGTTGCTTCTCCCGTAGTGTCTCAAGAACGAGTATCAAGTGCTCCTCATGCTCTTCCTCACTCTTTGAGTAGATCAAGATGTCATCAATGAACACAATCACGAATCGGTCCAAGTATTTGTGAAATACTCGGTTCATCAAGTCCATGAATGCCGCCGGGGCGTTTGTTAACCCAAACGACATAACAAGGAACTCAAAATGCCCATACCTCGTGCGGAAAGCACTCTTCGGTATGTCATCCTCCTTAATCTTCAGTTGATGGTACCCCGACCTCAAGTCAATCTTTGAAAACACGGTTGCTCCTCGTAGTTGATCAAACAAGTCATCAATCCTAGGCAAGGGATACCTATTCTTGATTGTGACCTTGTTCAGTTGACGATAGTCAATGCACATTCGAAGTGTTCCATCCTTCTTTTTCACAAAAAGGACCGGTGCTCCCCATGGGGAGTGGCTTGGTCTGATGAAACCGTTATCCAAAAGCTCTTGCAATTGGGTTTTTAACTCGTTAAGTTCAGCGGGTGCCATATGGTATGGCGGTATGGAGATTGGTTTGGTGCCGGGCTCGACCTCGATCACGAACTCAATCTCCCTATCGGGTGGAAGTCCCGGTAAGTCTTTAGGAAAGACGTCCGGATACTTGCATACTACCCTAACTTCATCAATGCTCGTCTCTTCTTTGGTTTTGTCCACCACATATGCTAGATATGCATGACACCCCTTCCTCATCATATTCTTAGCCCTCACAGCGGATATGATACAACTATTGGATTTTGCCCTATCCCCCTCGAAGCGTAAGGTTACCCCTTCATTGCCTTCGAGTTCAAGTACTTTCGTGTAACAATCGACCCTAGCATGATGCTTCTCAAGCCAATCCATACCCAGGATTGCATCGAACTCAATCATACTCAGCGGCACAAAATCACACGACAAGTTTTGGCCCTCCACTTCCACCTCACACGATGGATAGTGGCTATCTCTCTCGATGTCTTCCCCTAGGGGTGTGGATACCAATAGGGCTTGAGCCATCGGTATCAGGGGTACGTTGAATCCCCCGGCGAATGCCTCACTCACAAATGATCGTTGCGCCCCAGTATCGATGAGGATTCTCGCACATCTCCCATTAATCTTTAATGTTCCTACATCCATACACCATGTAAGATACATTTTCTAATGTTTTTACACATCATTAAGATGTTATTATGTTCACACTAATGTTTGGGATCAAACGGGGGTCCAAACGTAGAAGAACGGGGCGAAAAAATAAAGTTTCAGGTGCCAGGGGTCCACGCACGGCGTGCGTAGGGGGTACGCACGGTCGTGCGTACCTTGTTTTACCAATGGAGGCTACTGCCCCCAACGCACGGAGGGACGCACGGGCAACGCACGGCCGGGCGTGCAGCGAATTTCCTCCGGGGTGCTACTGCCACCAACGCACGGAGGTACGCACGGACAACGCACGGCCGGGCGTGCAGCGAATTTCCTCCGGGGTGCTACTGCCACCAACGCACGGAGGTACGCACGGACAACGCACGGCCGTGCGTGCAGCCCAGCCTGTAGTGCGTTGGCAGAAATCAGCCCGATTTCGCCCAATTTCGCCCAATTTCGCTCCGTTTGGTCCCGGGGTGGCCCGAACTCAACCCCCAACGGTGTATATGATCAAACTAAGCCTAGAAATACATGGGAATATGTGTATTACCTGCAACGGAGTCCGGGTTTGCTCGCGCATCCGCCTCGGTCATCGCGTAGACTCTCGCTTGAGCCCTTCCTTGGTTCACGGAGGGTGCGTTGCTTGTACTTGCCCCGCCGTGGTTTGTGCCTGCATTGGGTGCCCCACCCCGGTTTCTACTCACCATGGTTGCACTGCTTGGCCCTGATGACCGGTTCCCACCAAGTTGAGGGCAATTGGGCTTTATGTGCCCCGTATCTCCGCATTGGTAGCACCGTGGGGGATCACGACATTTGCCCTCGTGATTTCTCTTGCAATTCCTGCACTTAGGCTTCGTCGGGGCTTGTGATCCCGAGTTCTGCCCACTCATGTTGGGATTCCCCCTTGATGGTGGTGCGGGTGCCCTAAAGGATCCTCCTCCCCCGTGATTCCCCTTCTTGTTTGAACCCTGGGGGCCATGGTTCTCCCATTTTCTTTTCTTTGCCTCCTCGGCATTTCTTCGCTTCCTTTCCTCCCATTCCTTCTCCCCCTTCAAGCCTTGTTCGACCACTTGGCTAAACGTCATATTAGGCAATTGTGTTGCCCTCTCACGTATATCAAGGTCCAAGGCGTTCCAGAAGTGGTTCACCATCCGGTTCTCATCACAAATGTACTCCGGTATGAACTCAGCAAGTTTTCTGAACTTGTGCTCAAGCTCCTTCACTGTGCACTCACCTCCTTGGGTTAAGGTTGTGTACTCCCTCCTCTTTAAATTCACTTCAAAGTCGGAGTAGTATTGGCTAAAGAATTCTTGTCGGAAATTCTCCCAGGTGACGGCCTCGCCGTACTTCCCTTTAGCTCCGTCCCACCATGTGGACGCCATGCCTTCTAGTAGTCTTGTGGCCACTCTCAACTTCATGTTCGGTGGCAGCTGCATATCCAGGGCCGCTTCATTGAATCTCTTGATCCACTCGGCCGCCACGGAGATGTCTCCCGTTCCATCAAACGGTTTACATCCCAAGTCTCTCGCCTCCTTTAGGTACTTCGAGATTCTTATGATAGGAACCTCGGCACCTCGCCCTCCTTGGGGTTCTATGCTTCCCCTAGGACTCACACGGCTCCCTCTACTCGAAGCCCCCCTCGAAGCACGCCTTGCCCGGCGCCTTTGGCGATCTTGATGATATTGCCGGAGCAATTCCTCAATCCTTTCTAGAGCGTCGTTATCGTCGCTCCCCTCGCTAATGTCATCATCTTCCCCATCATATGGGGTTTCAACCGGCTCCGTTCCCGGTCGGTACGTTGAATCCTCCTCGGACTCATAATGCTCGTCAATTGTTTCAACATGACCGTCACTAACGGTCAGCGAGTGGCCTGCACGGCCCTGCCCCCGAGACACCCTTGATGCCCCTCGACTGCCATGTTGGGACCTTCCCGGCGCCTGGCCAGTCGGGTTTCGTCGGGTGACTTTACCGGTGCGTTCCATTTCTGAAAGAGATAGAGAAGGAGTCATTAGACCCGTATCAAATGTCAAGTGACGGATAGGCACTTAAAGACATCTTTTGGCTCAAATCACCGTCATACCAATTGTTAAGGGTACCATCTTAACAATTAGAGACTTTGCAACTCAAGTACCAAAAGTTCTATAAGTGCAAAACTTTTATGCTCATGGTTTTCAAAATCATTTTCAAAAGGGATTTTGAAGCTTCATTATGAAGTTTACGGACTAAGGCTCTGATACCAATTAAATTGTCACGCCCCGGACCTTCCCGGACACGTCAACAACCCGCCGTACAGTACGAATAGTCAACCGCAGTCCAACTCATCCATATTATACAAGGCGTCTTGAATACCATTCACATTAGTACATCCATAAACAATCACAATGTAAATCATTTAATTAAGCAGCGGAAATATTAATACAAGCATTCGAGCCACACGTGGCAAACACGGGCGTGCAAGCCCTAAATAATTATTCGGAAAATAGTATCCATGAGCATTAATTTGAATGTTTTAAAACAGAAACGGAGGAAGCACGAACCACGTCTCCTCTCCTTGATAATCCGCCCGAAGCAACGGTGATGGTAGCACCCTTCAAGTTCTACCTGAAACTGTGAGGTGGCCTCCCCCGTGAAGGGGAGGTCAGTACTTGGAAGCATTTGACAAGTACAATGACAACTATACTAAGTATAATCAAAGTTTCAATTTCCAAGACCCTCAATCTAGGATGTTATTATATTATAGGTCATAACCCGTGGTTATCCTCTTTTGAAAGTATACTTACTTTATATATATAGTCAAGTAATCGCCCGAAGGCCCATGTTTACTTTGGAAACATTTAACCCTTTCCCCGTGACTTCAAGCCACACCCATCTATATTAGTTTACCATGCTAGAGGCTTCCTCTAGTCATGTTTTGTCGTGCTAGAGGCTGACTCTAGTCACTCCACTTGGTGTTAGAGGCTTCCTCTAATCACCTTACATACGTTGTGCTGGAGGCTTCCTCCAGTCACATTACGTTACGCTAGAGGCTTCCTCTAGTCGTCCTACACGAATGCTGGAGGCTTCCTCCAGTCATTCTTCATCGTGCTCGAGGCTTCCTCTAGTCACGATACTAATTCACTAAGCAATCTCTATGCCTAGAGTTCCTCTACTATGAGTAACCTTCATGATCCACTCCTACGGTAACTTAGCGTTTACTCATCTCTACCTTAAGACATTTCATATGACTACTTAAGGTACATCATTCACAATCCAAACCCCTAGGATTTGTTCTATCACTTTTCATGCTAACATCCCCGGCTAGTATTTCTATACTAGTCATTTAACCTTAATAAGCCAATGCAATTTCATAGTAATTTGGCTATTTCAATTTAATTCCACATTCAAGTATAACTTGGTTCTAATATCAAAATATCACTTTTATCCTTCCATGACTTCCTTACATGAGGTAAAAGTATATTTATCACAATTCATTTATAGTTTGCACGCTATTATACCATTTTATTCATAATACATAATCATACACAATTTATTCATAAATTTGTATATTATGCACTTTTACTTATAAACAATAATAATCTCATTTAGGCATTTTGTTATATTATAAATAAATCATGCCAAACACATATAATTCATTTAGGTAATCTTATGAAATTAACCCAATAATTATAAGCAATATAGTCGGTCATCCTCACCTTAAGTGAGCTTAAGCGTGTTCTACGCTCCGCGGTTGAACTTTGACTAATTCCGGCAAACTTTGACCAACTCCGGTGAACTTTGACCAACTCCGGCGAAACTCCGGTGAAGCTCAAAAATACTTTAATCAAGTTCCTAACAAGGTTTTAACATCATAAAACCTTAATCAATACAAATAACCCCAAAAGGTTATTTTCCGGTGAACCGGTCGTTTTGACTTCTAAATCCGTTTTTGGACTTAGAACCACTTTCCAACCCATCATTCTACACTCTTTTCATGTAGAACAATCCCAAGGATCCTCCATATGATATATATCTCATAAGATTGAAGGGAAACATATAGAAAAAGTTATGATAAGGTTATTACCTTAACCTTCACACTTTTAGCACTTAAATTCCTTTTCTTGGGATCTTTCCTTGTTGAGCTTTCTTCAACAATGGAGATGGAGGACTTCTTTGCTCTAGCTTGGAGGGTGCAGGCCGCAGGAAAATGAGGGGGAGTGGGTGAAGGTTGGTTTTTGTCTCTTTGATACAATGAGTAAGGATGGGGGGTCCAATTAATGTACCTTTGATGCTTTCTTAATCAATCCCAACACCTCCCACCTCCTCCTTTCCCTTCCAGCCGCCCACCTCTTGTCCTTTGTATGGAAAAATTCGTGGGTTGGCCCCCACACATGTGGGAGGTCAACCCCTTTTGTTCCGAAGTGTACAATTGGTCCCGAAAGTTGTATTTTTCGGACTGTTTTAAATATATTTTATTTTATCGGGTCAAATAAAATATATTATGTGTTCTCAATCATTATGACTCTCATAGTGAATATACATTCCCCAACTTTAATTTATAGGTCTCCGAAATTTAATTTCGGGCTATTATCCGTTAAATTGCCAATACCGGTATTTGGGCCTCTTTTGACCAATCGGTCAACTCAAGACCTTTCCATGGTTCAAAAGAATTATCCACCACCATATAAATATTATCTAGACCAAGATGAATAATTTATGTGGTCCCGGGAATATCGGGCGGCCCCCGCTCCCGGTGCGGGCCCCACGCGCGAACTTATTATTCAGGCAAAATTAATAAAAATTCATAACCTCGTAAATTCGTCAACCATTCCATAAGGTTAAAATACAATATTCACTTAAAAGTAAATACACTTGGGGACGGTGTTACAAGTTCACCCCCCCTTATTTGGGATTTCGTCCCCGAAATCCACGTGTCTAATCGAAGAGAAAAGGGTATTGCTCTCTCATTGAAACCTCAGTCTCCCATGTTTCTTCCTCGACCCGATCACTCCTCCAAAGGACTTTTACCATAGGAATCTCCTTGTTCCTCAATTTCTTCACCTGTTGACCCACAACCTTTACCGGTTCCACTGCATATTGTAGATCTTCACGTATCTCCACCGGTGGCTTCTCAAGAATATGAGATGGATCTCTCACGTATTTCTTGAGCATCGATACATGAAACACGTCGTGTATCTTCTCAAGTTCCGGCGTCAGCTTGAGACGGTAAGCCACCGCCCCAATCCTTTCAAGGATTTCAAACGGACCAATGTATCGGGGGTTGAGTTTTCCCCTCGATAAAAATCGGATGATACCCTTCCAAGGAGAAATTCTTAGGAAGACCTTATCACCGACCTCGAACTCCAATGGCCTGCGTCGTTTGTCGGCATAGCTCTTCTGCCGATCTTGGGCAGTCTTGAGTCTATCCTGAATGACTTTCACTTTAGTCTTGGTGATTTCAACAAGTTCAATCCCCTCGAGCTTGGCCTCGCCAACCTCGTCCCAACACAACGGTGTTCTGCACTTCCTCCCATACAATGCCTCGTATGGAGGCATGCCAATACTTGCCTGATAACTGTTGTTATAGGCAAACTCCACTAGGGCCAAATGTTTGTCCCAACTTCCTTGGAACTCCAAAGCACATGCCCTAAGCATGTCTTCCAGAATCTGTATCACCCGCTCGGACTGTCCATCCGTCTGTGGGTGAAAAGCTGTGCTAAACTTCAGTTTAGTCCCCAGAGATGCTTGAAACTTTGGCCAAAATCGGGATGTGAATCGTGGATCCCTATCCGAGACAATGGATATTGGGACTCCATGTAATCTCACAATCTCCTCCGTGTATAGCTTCGCCAACCTTTCAAGAGGGTAAGTGATGTTAATAGGCAAAAAGTGAGCACTCTTGGTGAGCCTATCAACTACTACCCATACCGCATCATAGTTGTTCACGGTCCGTGGCAACCCCACCACGAAATCCATAGTCACATGCTCCCACTTCCATTCTGGAATGGAAAGTGGCTGTAATAACCCAGCTGGATGCTGATGCTCTGCCTTGACTTGCTGACAAGTAAGGCACTGACTGATGTACTCGGCTATCTCTCTCTTCATACCGGACCACCAGTAACTTTCTTTCAAATCGCGATACATCTTCGTGCCCCCCGGGTGCATGGCATAAGCCGATGAATGAGCTTCCTCTAAGATGGACTTTCGGAGCTCATCATCCGCCGGCACACACACTCGGTCACGAAATAGTAAAAGACCGTCGTCTCTTTCTCTGAAGTCCTCCACCGGTCCCGCTTGCAAGCGTTCCCTGATCTTCACAATTTCATCGTCAGTTTCCTGACCCTTCTTGATCTCATCAAGCAAAGTAGGTCTCACCTCAAACCGTGCCAATAAGGCACCATTACTGGACACCTCCAGTTGGGCTCTTAATGCCCTCAAATTAGCTATCAATGCCCCAGTTGAGCTCTTCCGGCTCAAAGCATCTGCCACTACATTTGCCTTGCCTGGATGGTACTCAATCACTAGGTGGTAGTCCTTTATCAACTCCATCCACCGTCTCTGCCTCATGTTTAACTCTTTCTGAGTAAACACGTACTTCAAGCTCTTATGGTCAGTGTATATGTGACATGTCTCTCCGTAGAGATAATGTCTCCAAATCTTCAGTGCGAACACCACTGCTCCCAACTCTAGATCATGGGTGGGGTAATTTACCTCATGCTTCTTCAACTGTCGTGAAGCATAGGCAATTACCCTCCCCTCCTGCATTAACACACATCCAAGCCCTTGGATGCTCGCGTCACTATAGACATCGTACCCCATACCCTGTTTGGGTAATGCAAGTACCGGTGCCTCGGTTAATCTCTTCTTCAGTTCAGTGAATCCTTTCTCACATTTGTCATCCCATACAAACTTAGCTCCTTTTCGAGTGAGCTTTGTCAACGGTGATGCCAAAACAGAGAACTTTTCCACGAACTTTCTATAGTATCCTGCCAATCCAAGGAAACTACGAATTTCCTTGACGTTCTTTGGCCTCTCCCATTCGGTGATGGCTTCTATCTTCTTGTTGTCGACAGCAATTCCCGATCCCGAAACCACGTGCCCGAGAAAGCCAATCTCCTTAAGCCAAAATTCACATTTAGAAAATTTGGCATAGAGTTGCTTCTCCCGTAGTGTCTCAAGAACGAGTATCAAGTGCTCCTCATGCTCTTCCTCACTCTTTGAGTAGATCAAGATGTCATCAATGAACACAATCACGAATCGGTCCAAGTATTTGTGAAATACTCGGTTCATCAAGTCCATGAATGCCGCCGGGGCGTTTGTTAACCCAAACGACATAACAAGGAACTCAAAATGCCCATACCTCGTGCGGAAAGCACTCTTCGGTATGTCATCCTCCTTAATCTTCAGTTGATGGTACCCCGACCTCAAGTCAATCTTTGAAAACACGGTTGCTCCTCGTAGTTGATCAAACAAGTCATCAATCCTAGGCAAGGGATACCTATTCTTGATTGTGACCTTGTTCAGTTGACGATAGTCAATGCACATTCGAAGTGTTCCATCCTTCTTTTTCACAAAAAGGACCGGTGCTCCCCATGGGGAGTGGCTTGGTCTGATGAAACCGTTATCCAAAAGCTCTTGCAATTGGGTTTTTAACTCGTTAAGTTCAGCGGGTGCCATATGGTATGGCGGTATGGAGATTGGTTTGGTGCCGGGCTCGACCTCGATCACGAACTCAATCTCCCTATCGGGTGGAAGTCCCGGTAAGTCTTTAGGAAAGACGTCCGGATACTTGCATACTACCCTAACTTCATCAATGCTCGTCTCTTCTTTGGTTTTGTCCACCACATATGCTAGATATGCATGACACCCCTTCCTCATCATATTCTTAGCCCTCACAGCGGATATGATACAACTATTGGATTTTGCCCTATCCCCCTCGAAGCGTAAGGTTACCCCTTCATTGCCTTCGAGTTCAAGTACTTTCGTGTAACAATCGACCCTAGCATGATGCTTCTCAAGCCAATCCATACCCAGGATTGCATCGAACTCAATCATACTCAGCGGCACAAAATCACACGACAAGTTTTGGCCCTCCACTTCCACCTCACACGATGGATAGTGGCTATCTCTCTCGATGTCTTCCCCTAGGGGTGTGGATACCAATAGGGCTTGAGCCATCGGTATCAGGGGTACGTTGAATCCCCCGGCGAATGCCTCACTCACAAATGATCGTTGCGCCCCAGTATCGATGAGGATTCTCGCACATCTCCCATTAATCTTTAATGTTCCTACATCCATACACCATGTAAGATACATTTTCTAATGTTTTTACACATCATTAAGATGTTATTATGTTCACACTAATGTTTGGGATCAAACGGGGGTCCAAACGTAGAAGAACGGGGCGAAAAAATAAAGTTTCAGGTGCCAGGGGTCCACGCACGGCGTGCGTAGGGGGTACGCACGGTCGTGCGTACCTTGTTTTACCAATGGAGGCTACTGCCCCCAACGCACGGAGGGACGCACGGGCAACGCACGGCCGGGCGTGCAGCGAATTTCCTCCGGGGTGCTACTGCCACCAACGCACGGAGGTACGCACGGACAACGCACGGCCGGGCGTGCAGCGAATTTCCTCCGGGGTGCTACTGCCACCAACGCACGGAGGTACGCACGGACAACGCACGGCCGTGCGTGCAGCCCAGCCTGTAGTGCGTTGGCAGAAATCAGCCCGATTTCGCCCAATTTCGCCCAATTTCGCTCCGTTTGGTCCCGGGGTGGCCCGAACTCAACCCCCAACGGTGTATATGATCAAACTAAGCCTAGAAATACATGGGAATATGTGTATTACCTGCAACGGAGTCCGGGTTTGCTCGCGCATCCGCCTCGGTCATCGCGTAGACTCTCGCTTGAGCCCTTCCTTGGTTCACGGAGGGTGCGTTGCTTGTACTTGCCCCGCCGTGGTTTGTGCCTGCATTGGGTGCCCCACCCCGGTTTCTACTCACCATGGTTGCACTGCTTGGCCCTGATGACCGGTTCCCACCAAGTTGAGGGCAATTGGGCTTTATGTGCCCCGTATCTCCGCATTGGTAGCACCGTGGGGGATCACGACATTTGCCCTCGTGATTTCTCTTGCAATTCCTGCACTTAGGCTTCGTCGGGGCTTGTGATCCCGAGTTCTGCCCACTCATGTTGGGATTCCCCCTTGATGGTGGTGCGGGTGCCCTGAAGGATCCTCCTCCCCCGTGATTCCCCTTCTTGTTTGAACCCTGGGGGCCATGGTTCTCCCATTT